ATGCTTTGGTGACCTAAATTAAAATGTAGAATATTCTAAATGTCTTAAATTCCTACTAGTGCACTGTACAATTCTAAAACGAGTACCCCTATTTTAAGTTTGAACGACTAGCTATGTGTCCTAACATTTATTTATTTCATTGTCTAGGAGATGAAAACGATGAGTTAAAATAGATATCTAATGCTTTTTCATAGATAGCCTTTTAAGCTCAGTGTTCCCAAGTTTATGGTCGACTTACAAACACTCTTATTTACACACACGTGTAACTCTGCACTTTACTGCAAGAAAATGTTTCTGCATTTCTGCATGTGCCTTTGCATTGTGGTCGTGAGTTCTGGGTGTCTTGAATTATACCTAAATCTTTGTGCCGGTCCCTTGCGTTTGGCATCAGGTTTGAACTCGACTAAGTTTTGAACTCGACTAAGGTTTGAACTCGACTAAGGGATACAGTCGAGCTTATCCCACACTGTGGAAAATAAAATAGAAAAAAAAGAAATGTGTTTTAGCAGCAGAGCCTCTTCAGGCGTCTGGGGAGAGAGAGAGAGGGCAGCAACTGGTTAATTGACTAGGATCGGAAGCAAGTAAAAGCTTTCGTTTTAAAACAAAACATTGATCTCTCCATACAGGGTATCAATAATTCAGGGATCTTTGCCATTTTCTACATGGTACAAGAGCACGTGATCACCTCTTTGTTTTTTTATTGTGGCTGAAGGGCTGCCGAAACATGGAATAGTCTGGCTGGACAGCGGCCCAAACACTCCTCATCCCTCTGTTTGTGGGAAAGGTGCGCCGTCTGTGGGAGAGATGGGCCTCTCCGCTGTTTCCTTCTCAGCAGGGAGCTGGTGGGAAGATGAGATGGCCTCTTGCGCTGCCATGGCACTGTCGAGCCCAGGGAGCCTCGCCTCTGGTTCAGCTTGGACAGGGGTCTCACAGGCCCCGGCGGCAGCAGGGTGCGGGGGCGCCGGGCCCTCAGTCAGGAGGCCCTGGGACCCGAGCTCTGCCTTCACACCGAGGGTCTTAACTTCCTGCCAGCTCCTTTCAGATGGGGTCAAAAGTATGCCCAGTTTGTGAGACAGCTCCACTCCTTTCTTGGTCCAGTCATTCATGTTCCAATAGGCCTCCTCCAGAATCCGTCTGAGGCTCACCCTGGGGTCATTGCTGGGCTGCTGGGCGGCTCCCCCACCAGTCTGTGCAAAGAACACAGACCTGTGACTCTGGCCGGCTTGTCTGATCTCCCGCAGGAACGCACGTTGTAGTGTTGACGCCAGAGAACAGGTCTGTCGGAGACCACTGTTATTAGCAATTTAAAAAATATACGTGGGTGAGGTTGTTTTTTTTTTTGCCTACCTTCTTCCATGCGGCGGTATTTTCCGAGATTTCTGCTGCTTTATTTTGTCTTCCTTTGCCTGCCTTCGGGGGAGCGGTTTTGGGGGCGGGTTTCCTGGTTTCTCGCGCGGGGTGCGCCGTGTTTTTCTCACAGCAAGGACACGCCGCCCCTCCCGGAGCGACGTCCTGGGCGTGTGTCGCGGGAGGTCGCTCGGATCTTTCTTTCGGGGTGCGCGTCTTTGTTTTTTTTATCTGAGCCGGCGTCGGCTCCGGGTCGGGGGCAGCTGTCGACACGCTTTCCAGGCCCTTCACCAGCCGGCACAGACGGATCTCCCTGTCCAGCATGTCAGCCACTTCTCCGGACTCGACCTCGTGGTAGCGGTCGCTCCCCCGGTCCGTTTTAAAGACCGGATGCCCATCCGAGTTTGTGGCTTCCACCAGTTTATGAAACAGCAAAGAAACAACTTTTTCCAAAGCGTCCAGAACCCCATGTTGTTCGATGAACCCCTTGACCTCGGCGTGGGGGTGACCAAGCACGGGGGCGGCCATCTTTGAGCGGGACTGGTCACCCTGGATGTTCGGAGACCACGACGGTCTCCTGTAGAGGGTTTTGTCCGCCATCAGACGCTGGCCTTCTTCCACCACGAGGCGTCTGATGAATTTCTCTGCGTCTTCAGAGGCGTTGCGCGCCGAGCACGTCGCGTCTGGTTTTGAATCGGGCGAGGTCTCCTCGCTCTGGTGCCACGGTTCCATTTTTAGCGGGTTCGAGGGCAAAACCCACCGCTACCGCGGATCCAACCCAACCGATGAGCGGCCTTCCTTCAGCCCCATTCAAGACCAGCGCCCTGCCACCATGGACGCCGAACCTCTTGCAATGTGGACATTCTGCCTTCCCCGACACTAGACCTGCGCGGTTGGTCGCCGAATAGAACTCCACGCATTACAAAAACAGATCCATTGTCGCGTCATTGTCGGAAGCGATTGAGATATTCTATCGACATTCTATCAGCTGCTGCTAGGGAGCCGGGCATTTGCAGAACAGCCCCCGCGGGCGTGTTCTTTGGTAGTGCCCGTGCCAGACCGTTCAGGACGTCGCTTGTTAGGTTAGATCGGGGTGGGGGCGGCATCCTGTTCAAGCGTCTCGCTGGAAGACTCAAGCGCGTCCACGAGGGGCACGCTGAAGCCTTCGCCGTGCACACGCACACCGGCCGGGGTCCGTCCAGAGACTCTGATTAACCTGGACACCCGGCTCTTTGGACTGCAAGCGCGGACCGGGACACTCAAGAGAACATGTGAACCAGCAGCGCTAATCTCCACCCCGCCGGTTCAGTAGGTATTTATGAGAATTTAGCGAAAAATACCACGCGTTTTTTTTTCTAACCTATTAATCCCGACATTGGCTATCCAGTATTGAAAAGTCTGGATGCAGTGTCCCTTTAGTTCTCAGTAAAATGAGGGAATGTTACATGAAATGTAGTATGAAGGCGTCAGTGTGTGTATTTGGAGAACAATTTACTCAGTTATAGACTGTTTCTCCTCAGTACATCAGTTTGATGATGTTGTACACGCCAGTCTGTTTGTCTTAATATCGCAACTCCTGAATCATTCCCTCGGGGAGTCAGAAAAACCGCGTCGTTATGTACGCGCACGTCGGGATGGAAAAGAACTCCAGGCAGCTCGTTTGACGTGTAAGCAGGCGCGTCGCACCTGTGTTTGACCTGAACTAATGACACGTTTCTCTAGTTTCTCTGCCGCATACGGAGCACGAAGACAACAGATGACACACTGACACATAGAGTATAGCTGAAGACGCCCCCAGCCCCGAATTTCTCATCTGGCGCGAGTTGGTAAGACTTGGTTTTCACCTCCAGTTCGATTTCAAAAGTTTTCCGAGGTCAACAAACTGTCTCGAAAAAAAAAAAACATTTTACATTTTAAATTTTACTTCTCTGAGTGAATTTCGGCTATAAACCTAATATAAAGTCTTAAACTAAAAAGAAAAAACCTAAAATATTTAACATAAAGTACTGTAACTAAGACTTGGTTTTCACCTCCAGTTCGATTTCAAAAGTTTTCCGAGGTCAACAAACTGTCTCGAAAAAAAAACCATTTTACATTTTAAATTTTACTTCTCTGAGTGAATTTCGGCTATAAACCTAATATAAAGTCTTAAACTAAAAAAAAAACCTAAAATATTTAACATATTAACAGTACTGTAACAATGACACCTGTTCATATTTATTTATTTTGTGAGCACTGATATAACAAATTCATCAGGAGTTACTTCCCGGTACAGTTTTCAGATTAGGAGTGAGAACGCAAAACGTCTTGTAATGAAACGGCTCTTTGTTGCAAAGGCACAGAATGCCTTATACCAATTCAGAACAGCATGGACATTATTTTCGAGGTTATCTGATCTGGCTACGCGATCATTTCTATTGTGTACTACAACACCTACCCAGAGCAAATTTGGCACGAAAACTACACTTCCAAAACAAAATCCGTGACAAAAATATTCCCATAGCTCACACTAGAGGGCGCGGTAATCCGGAAAAGCAACCTCGATATTTACAAGAGCTTGTAATCCGTCTTCCGAATGGTTATCCGGTGCTTAAATGGACACACACGTGTGCTAAAAATGGGTAAGTGGGCGCCTTTGAAAACACCCTCCGAGACCTACAATAGTGGGTTTTATTGCGTGCTAACTTTTAAGAACCAGTTCTGAACTGAATCGCAAGTGTTCAGCAAAGGCAAACGCGGTGTGGTTTCACATTCTGCTGCTGTTTGCGCCGTTTTGTGCTTGCTGTCGCACGAGCAATTGAAAAACCGGAGCAACGCGAATTCTTTCCAAATGATCGATTTATTTTCCATGTCGCGCCCCAAGAGGCGCGGCCGCGCGTATTTCGGACGACGGACGGAAGGGTCTTCCTTTTGCTCTGTCGAAAACGGACAATGAAAATAAAACCGTGCGCCGGCCGGTGCCAGCTTTAAAGGCTATTAAAGGGAAGTGATATCTTAAAGGTCACGTAAGGGATTAAAAGTCGGGTGGACTTGGAAAAAAAATACTTTCAATGTCCGTAGCGTATTTTCAACGCCTTTGGAATGATGATCGGAGTTTTAAACAAATATCGTAATATGTCAGCGAAAGAGCTACATTGCCTACATACAGAACCGTTTTATAGTGTCATCTACAGTACATTACATAAAACCCTATAAAAGGCGTTTATAAACAGTGTTAAAGGCTCATGAACAGTGTCACTCTTGGCTAACTTCTCGGTTCCAGTAAATTGCAGCTGACTTCCTGCTGAGACGGTGACAGGGAAGGGGCAGGTCTGTCTCGGGGTGCCTACTGCCCTTCACGCCAGGAGCGGCGTGCTGGGTTTCTAACGCCCTGCAGCGCTACAGCGCTCCTCCCTGTCCTTTCCCCTTCTCAGCAGGAGCGGGCGGACCTGCGGTCAGAGAGGATGCCACAGCCCAGAATCAGGTTGGTGGTGACCGGCGACGATTTTGGGTACTGTCCGCGGAGGAACCGGGGAATCGTCGAGTGTTTCCTGTCCGGGGCGGTTTCCAACGTTTCGCTCTTGGTCAACGCCGGCTCGGCTAAGGACGGCGCTGAGCTAGCCAGGCGGTGAGTGGCGAACTGCCCGCTGGGGCTTTCAGCCTCGGCTTCAGCGTGCTGCTGATGCAGCCCAATGTTCTGTCTCAACTGAGAATTACAAAAGCTTAGTTTTTTTATAATCGCAATTCTTAATTAATTGCTTACACTTATATATAGCGCTTTTCTGGACACTCCACTCAAAGCGCTTTACAGGTAATGGGGATCCCCTCCACCACCACCAGTGTGCAGCCCC